ATAGGACTGATGCATGTGAGCCAGACACTCAAGATTTTTAGGAGGATAAAAGAAGCCAAACCTACAGCCTCTCTGGTCCTTACAACTCATCTGCGACAAAGACAGCTTCCTCATTGGACATCATATTTTGTTAAATATAGTGATGTAACCAGTGACCAGAGGGGATTATCACACTTCAATTGGAAGGTCAGAATATAAGTGGAACTATTTACTACTTTGTTGTTTCACACACAAGGTAATGTCAGGATTTTAGGCAAAAAAAAATGTAAGGAAACAATGACAGTAATATGAGGGAGCATCAAAAAGTTTGTGGAAAAACTCTATAACTAAAAATTGTTTGGATAGATTTTAAGTTCAGTGCACCTGAACATTCTTGCACTAATGTGTTATAACATGCTCAAACATGAACCCTTAAAAGCTGTCTGTGTAGAATTGAGGGTCTTGTGATCTGAACCATGTCAGAGCAGGTCTTTTTACATCTTCAACTAATGGAAAATTGGTACCTTTCAATGATTTTTTCATCTTTGGAAACAAAAAAAAAGTTGGATGGGGCTAAATCAGGGCTGTAAGAGGGAAGGCGGATGATTTCCCATCAAAATTCACATAGCACAGCTCTTGTATGCCGAGCACCATGAGCAGGTGCATCGTCATGGTGGAAGAGGATGTGTTGATGCAGCTTTCCAGGGCATTTTTCTGAGATTTTTTTTGACAGTTTTCTCAAAACACTTTCATAATAAGGAGATGTAATTGTCTTCTTGTTCTTGAGGAAGTCAACTAGCTAAATCCCCTCTGAATCCCAGAAGACAGTGGCCTTGACCTTTCCTCTTGAATACTCAGATTTTGCTTTGACTGGTCCACTTCTTCCCCAGGGCAGCCACTGCTTTGATTGAATTTTGTCCTTGGGATCGTACTGGTAGAGCCATGTTTCATTCCCTGTCACAATTCTTTGCAGAAAAGCTTCAGAGTCCCCATCTCACTTGTTCAAAATTTTCATTGAAGGATTTGCCCTCGTTTGCTGTTGATCTGGGCGCAACAGCCTAGGGACCCATCTAGTTGAAAGCTTCCTTAGTCCCAAACTCTCCACAAGAACTGTGTGTGCAGAACCCACGGAGATGTTGAGTGTGTCTGCTACTGATTCAGTGGTTATTCCTTTGTCCTTGTCAATCAAGTTAAGAATCAGACATCAATGTCTCCAAACTAATTGTTGCTGCTTCAATGACAAGATTTGGGTTGTTGACTTCTTTGGGGCATTATCACCATAAACTTGTTTCAGAATGTCAATGATTTGCCTAAGTTTGTTCTGGTCACGATTTTGGTGGATTCTATATTGCATGAATGGTGCCTGACTTTCAACTGACAGCTATGCGTACTTACCTGCATTTAAGGGTTCATGTTTGAACATGTTATCACACGTTGGTACAAGAATGTTCAGGTGCATTGAAACAAAATCCTTCCAAACAAATTTTAGTTCTGGACTTTTTCCATGAACTTTTTGAAGCCCCCTCGTATATGAATGAAAAGTAGGTATATATATGATAAATGTAAACAAATTTCATGAATGATTCTGAATGTAACAATTTTTATAATGATAAAATTGGAATGAATAGTCAGCTATGTAGAAATTTATGTGGAATATTTTTTTATGTTTTTTCTCGTGAATGTTTTAGTGATTTATACATAATTTACATCATTATCATTATCATTTTTATTTTTATTATCATCATCATTTTCATTTTTCATCATCATCATCATCATCATCATCATCATCATCAATCATTATTTTTGTTATTTTCATTATTAATGTACCATTGCCAGGAAAATGTAGTGTTCACTGCAGTATTGTTTTGTGAAATGTCTCAACATATAGTATAATGATGTATTGATGCTCTGTTGGGACTTTCTGGCCGTACTTGATTCTTGAGTTTTGATTCCCTACTATTTATTCCTATTAGTTTTAAATGTTGCGTTACGAAAGATTGTCTGAACTAGTAGAACTGACTGGTCTTTAAACTTTTTCATATTCTCTTTATTAATTTTATGACACTTAAATCTGTTGTTAACTCCATTGCCTCTTTCACATAGGTGTTACATTTCTAATGCTGTGAGAGCTGATACGTAGTTTGAAAAAGTTTTAAACTCTTTTGCTAAGTCACCTGTTTTATTTCTGACATACACAGAATTTAATTCAAGGGATGCCTCTTAATGGCATTGGTCATTAGTTGACAATGCTGTTTGAATAGTTGTGTGGTTGTATTGTTGTAACTTTTAAATGTAGTGGGATTTTTCAATTTTAGAAGGTAGCCACTCTAGGGGCGATGTTGCATCATACAATCCCACCTTTCTTGTGTGATAAATATTTCCCATTTATGATTATTTGTCTGTGTAAGTTACTTGTATATAATTTTTTTCATTAATTTATGCCTTATTTTCCTATTATGGCACTGATATTTCAAATGCATATGTTGCCATGGCTGCTGAGTTGGTTACTGGATATCCCCTC